AAAAAAAAAAAAAAAAAAAAAAAGAGAAAGACAAGGGAGGTGGAAAAATAGTCGCAGAATGCATTTTGTTTCCCCCTCATCTTCTTCAACAAAATGCAGGCCCTGTGGTTATAGTAGTAGGCCACTAGCAACTGTATGTAACTGCATAGTGGCTAGCATGATGCAGCATGTATTAATCCCCTTTTTAGGCATGTACTCCTTGCTAGGAATTTAACAGTATTTTATCGCATTACTTTGGTGTATGAATGTACACCCTGGTAACCTCTCTGTAAAAGTCATGGCTGTAGTTTCACTAGCTTATGACAAATAGCAACTGTGCTAAACAGCAATATGAACATAAATGTATACTTTTTTCCTTTTCTCCCCGACTTGCATGCATCACACAGACCCTGCTGTCCGTGGCAAATTTAGAGAGAACTGAATGCACAAACCTTACCAGTTCATAATGGCGGGACTTGTTGCCAAAAACAAATCTTTTGCACGTGTGAAAAATAACATATGCCATGCTGCTCTCCTCTTACTGGTTTGTGTGAATGAAGGCAAGACAAACATTAATATAGAAGTGAACTATCACTAAATGACAATCCTGTTGCTTTAGCAGACAGAAGAAGCCACACATGCCATGTCTGAAAAGGGCTTTACTCTTTCACAGAGCGGGCTCCCATTAGGACAAATCCAGAGCATTCAACACACATGCCAACAGTAACTATTTGTAGCCTGCTGTGACAGGCTGTTAAAAATCCCCAACCTGTCAAACTATAAATTTACAGTGTGAGCACACACATTCACACACAAATGCAGCTCTCAAAAAGACAATACCAAATATTGATTTTTAAAAAGGTCCAAAAGGGAAGTCGGGGCAGCAAGATTAAGGGACTCTGGGAATCTCAGGTTCATAGGGATTCTCCTTTAAGCTCTCATTTCCTGTGCTTGTCCATTTTGTCAGTAGATTTACTTCCACTGTCTGAGGATCCCTGGGTGTCGCTACCAGAGCTCAGGTACATCTTGTCCACTTGTTTGAGCGCTTCATTCAGGTAGTTCTGAAGCGAGGTCATGGCAGCACAGATGGCTGGAGAGCCAAAGCCATGAGTGATGAGACTGAAGTGAGTCAGGCAGCCTTGGATTCCAGGTTCCAGAATGGGAGCAGGCCTAGCGTTGCCCAAAGGTGAGCGGTCCTGAGTGAGCAGATCAGTAAACTCTTTGCAGATTTGCCTGTAGATAGAGAAGCAGAATAACTAAGGATGTGAAATATGTACAGATCTGTGACCCAATTGGAAAATGGATAATACTTCAGATAATTTTGAAAATACAGCTTTCTATTGATCAAATACTTTAAAACCAGCTTTTGAAAAAGGTTGTCTTGCTACATCCCACTTTGCTAGGTGTTTAAATGCATGTAAATTAAAACAATGATTGAAAATACACTTACTTGGCAGCAAGGAGCATGTTCTTGCGCGAGTTAGCCTCATTCCGCTCCACATGTGGCCTACCCAGGTATTCAGCAATTGCCTTTGCAGGGAATTCGGTCTCACACACATAACCAAAGTCTCTTGCTAAATGAACAGCTTCACCTAAGACAAAAAAGAAAAAGATAATATTACATATAAGAAAAAAAACAAAAACAGGTTTTCTGTAGATCCAAGAAAACACTCAAGTTGCAACTTTATTGCTAACCACGAATTAATACTTGTGAATAAATATATTACTAATACATATTAATATTAGTCTTTAGACAAATATTATAACATCATATCCTTTGACATACTAGATTGTTAAGCTGTCCAGGAGCAGAACAATTTACTAGTTTAAGAGCATTACATGAATAGTCCCATTTTCAAACAGATATACACAAGCATGAAGGCACAAGAAGTGAAGCAGCTGAACTGCAGAATAATCATCTGCAGTCATTCTTCTAACTCTAGGTAAGAAGAGCTATGCAGATTGATACATTTTTGTCTTCAGGGTGGCTCGACTTGCATGTTCATAAAGGGATTATGTGAATAAATGCTACCAAAACTGGCCCCGAGATGCCAACAACACCGCTTATTGATAGACATGTACAAGTCTTCAAATGCTGGCAGCTATTCAGAAGCACAAGCTTTAAGGTCAGCTGGCCCTCCTGGCAAGCCGAACACAAGATAACAAGGCTTAATTCAGCTTTGAAGGTCTCTAAATAACACAGGCCTCCAGTCATCTTCCTGCACAGAATCATCACCCCATTTATAAAAATTCAGCATGTGGGGAGTGAGAGAGGGGGAAGGAAAAAAAAAACAACAAAAAAACAAAAAACAAACAAAACACACACCTTTCTATAGCCAGCGGCAGGTAAATGTGATTAAAGTGATACTGGGATGATAGAATCAAATGTCACTGACTGAGGTATGACTGCCGTTGTCATTCAAACTATACAGCAACAGAAAACAGTCACAATAAAAATCAGGGCTGTATGACCTGGTAGTATTTTTTTTCCATCAACAGGAACAATTAATTTTCCCCTAACACAACTGAGTTTCAGAGGTGACTTTGCACACTAGGTAATACAAGACAACATGCTCAATGGAGTAACAGAATTAGTGCTGAGGTTTGTTGTTTCTTTTGAGTATTTCAGATGGAAAATGGTCATCTCAGTCTTTTATACACTATATGAGTTCAGTCAACCTAATTTTGGCTAAATTTTCCAAACCACTATGACTCACCAAATAATGTGTAGCTGACAGTCTGGCACATTAAACACAGGAAAAAAAGGTTGCAGTTACATTGCCTTTAGTTACCCTTTCCACAAGAAGTGAAACACACACATACCAATGCCAATACACCGACATTCCCACATTCTCATACTACTAACGCGACATTCCAGCCACTGCAAACCGTAATTATAGTGCGAGAATTGACTGTGGGCAGATGACCAATGTGTCATACCTTCTACTAGCGAGGTAAGTAGAGTGACATTAGCTGCCTTCCTTCTTCCTGCAGGCAGGTTAAGCCCAATTTTGTCCAGCTTTTCTCTCAGAGAACGGCCTCCATTTTTTGACTTGGCTCTGTATAAAGAGAAAAAGAAATTGAGGTCATTCACACATTGTCTTGACATTTTCATCAAATTATCAGTGGAGTTTTAAAAGATTGTGTCATTTATGACTATTTATTTTATCCCCCTTGAGACCATAAATTAAAAGAAATACCAAGAGTTACAAGATATGTACTGTACATCTGTGTAATACACATTCGTGTATAGTCTCAAACACCTCTGAAAATAAATTACAAGAAGATTCTCTTGACCTAAAATAAAATATTGAAACAATTCATGTTCCACTCAAAAGCACAGCAGAGAGGTATAACTCATAAATGCATTTTCAGAAGCTCTTGAACTCTCCACTTGCCATAGCCAATTCAGTTTTCTGCATGACTGGCAGACAAGCTCTCCCCCTCAGTGGTCGGTGAGAAGGGGCGCATCTTTGGAGAGACATGTGTGTTTGAGTGCCCCCACCCCTTCTCCCTCTTGTCCCACTACTAACGATAGTCCTATTGCTGTGTGACCTACTTTTAAGAAAAGAAAAAAAAAAAAAAAAAAAAAGAGAGATTGTATATGTGGGTCTGTGGGTGCATGTCAGCATTAATACAGGCACATGGGAAGTGGTAAACATGCACTCCAAGTACAAAATGCTCCAGTCAGGAGTGTTAACCATGTACTGTAACCTCGAAGTCCCTCAACAGACTGCTGCACTACCATGTGTGCCATAAGGTCAACTGCTCTGGCAGTTTAACATTCGCAATCACGTACACAGGCACACAAACACAATAGGTAGGTACTAACAATGTTGACGCAACCTATCCCCAATGGAAGCACTGAACCCAAAATTGCACACAACACAAAGAATGTCACAAACCTTGCAAAAAATAAAGAAAAGAGGAAAAATGATGAGCCGGAGCAACAGAGTCAAGCTGTGCTTTTAAAAAGAGCCTTTCCCATGGGCTACTAAGCTTTAGCCTACAGATCACTTGCTCCACACCTTCCACAGCTTAATGATGGTTTATTTTTGAGATAATAAAAGTCTTAACAGTTTGCAGAAACCAGAAATTTTGAACAACTGAAATCATTTTGGCTTAGTTAATCCTATTTTTTGTGAATCAATAGAAATGTATTCACATGTCATGTTTAAGATTTTTCCGAACCACAAGGAAAAAGAGAATACTGTCTAGCTGTGACGGGGAATGAGACCGAGCCCTGACCTGCGTAGAACGCCTCCCAGGAGCGATGCGTTGAGGCATTCTGGGGGTGACAAACGTCTCTGGACTTCAGCCACAGTAACCTTGTACTTGGATGTAGAGCTCAGCAAGGAAAGACGGCCTGGTACAGAGCAAAACACCTCTGTGGGATTTGACACCATGCCCAGCAGGGACTCTTTCTGGAAGGGAAGACCCAGTGCGTTTCCTTTAGGCAGAGTGACAGGCCCTGGAGAGTGAGGAAAATAATGTTTGTAAGCTAAATACTAAAGTAGTGCAAAAGAACATAAAAACAGATTGTGGTTGGGCAGTCAGATTTGTTAATTACTGTCAATCTTTATTCCAGACTTACGGTCCATAAAAAATAAAAATAAATCAGACAAACCAATCTGTACGTTTCCTGTTTATGTGCATAAGCTCTGATCTTTCTGTGTCTTGTGCGGAAAAGCGAGCAGAAGTATGCGTATGCTGCTCTCCTCCAATGAGGAAAGCCAGTCTCTGCTGTGCCAAAATATACAAGAAAAAAAACATCTAAAGCCTTTTGAAATGTGTGGTTTTGGAAAGATCGGATGCCTGATGGTTAAACAGCTATGATGCCCTCACGTCAAACACCATCCACAAACAGGTACGCACATACAAACCGTCACTCATCTAAGCCACAACCTCGGAACCGTGAATTGATTGGTCTCACAGTCTTTGATCGAGCTAGACATTGTGATTTTTTTTAAATGTCATCCCACAAAAGCACTGACAGACAAACAAAACAGTACAGCACACTACGAAACAAAACAGCTATCTTCATCCTCACCCGCGAAAATTCCCCCCTGATAATAAGTCCTCTGTAAGCGATCAAGGTTCCTGCCACCTCGAAGTCCTAATACTGAGACAGAAATGACAGAGTCACATCAGTGCTTTAAATCTCCTCTCCGACAAATCACTGGGAATGACATGCCATTGTTTACAAGTGGAAACCCTAGATTGCCCATAGCGTGCCCTTGAGCCTGGGAACAGTATAATAAGCAATCACTGATTTACGTAACAAATGCAGACTGTTTGGTTTATTGCACTCTGCAAATGTCGTGCTGCTTGTTATGTACTGTAATATTGCAATATTACAAAGCAACCCTATAATTGCTAGCATGCTTTCAAAGAATAAAACTTTGGGACTGTACTGCAAAATATGACATTGTCAGCAAATCAAAAACATCAATTTTACTTTGATGTTCAACATACATATGAACAAGAAACTAAGGCGTGACGTTTACATTTTAAAATGAAACTTAACTCTACTTAAGCAAATTATATTTTCTACTTGTCCACTGTCCACATACTGTTCATAATAACATGATGTTCCTTGGGTTCATCTTTCACTTTAAGTCTGTTTAATAGAGCCCTGATGACAAAACAGCAGGAATAAGTTTCTCCCTCAAAACAGTTCAAGTCTCAACAAATTACTAAACTGTCCTTCACATGCAAGCCTAATGCCACACCCACCCAAAAGCTGGTTCTGCAGAGCCAAACACAGCTTCAAGACCAACTCATAATTTCCTGCTAACATGAACTGAAAAGAGCTGCAATTGCGAGCTTAACACGCCTAAAGATGATCCAAAGCTTTGGAACTCACAGTCAACACAGTTTGTGAGATTGCTCAATTTCCATGTCATGTCAGCTGTAGCCTGATGAATATGAAAGGGATCAGTTCTTTCCCACTGGGCATCCATTCAAGCACCTTCAACAGAATAGGCTAAGGATCACATCGGGCTTAAATAAGTGCATCGCATGGATTATCATTGTATGCAGTGTAAGTACAAACAGAAGACGCCTCCTTTCCTTACTCTCTCACTGAGTGCCCTGACATGCCACTATAGAAGTATGTCATTTCCAAGTATATAGAGTTCAACAAATGAAGGTCCAGCATTTTTTAGTAATTACCACATATTTTGCTGTACAAAAGCATTCCTCTTCAGTTTTCTTTTTTAATTGCTCTAACAGTTAAAAAGTCAAAATAAATAAATGTCACAACTCACCTTTTTTGATGACCGTCTGATCTGCCATAATTATACTGTGGTCGTCTACTTGCTGATAACAAAGAAAAGAAGCAGCAGTAAGTAAACACATACATTGCTCTGTTTTGATAAGATGCTGGAGCTAGACTATTTTTTCCTAAGGTGGGTATTTTCTTGATATTAGTAATCATCGTCCGTCTCTTTCATGCAAAGCATATAATGTAATATGTTCCATTTTATAATAAAAATATTTTCTACTACCACACCTTTAACTTGGAAGCATTTTGAATATATGTGACCTTTAGTTATATTAACATTTAGGAGATTTTAAATCTCCATATGGCAGGCGAGTGCAATAAAACACACTATAATGCATCCATTTACGACTTTTCAGTATATTCACTACTTCGACTGCATTCACACAAGCATTTAAGCACAAAGCCTCAGTCTTTGCGCGCCTCTGCCTCAAAAGTATAATGTCAAGTGATTATATAAATCTAATCCACTTACTTGAACATCATCCAGCCCGTGTCCCATGTCATGCATCCCCATATTATCGCCAATAACCGACGACTCTAGACTGTGAGCGTGTGGAGACAGCAGCTCCGGTCGGCGGAACCCTTCCCTCCTAACCCCTGACGAGCCTCCCTCCAAGCCTAGGATCTGACTCGCGAGTCCGCTCCTCCCGTGTGCGCCGAGCCCCTCCTGGCCTTGCCGCCCAGGCCACGGCTGCTGTTGGTTCGACGATGGCGACTGGTGTATGGAGTTGATGTTGAAAGGGTCCCCGAGGTGAGAGTAGGGGTCACTAGACTGCGGGTACGAGATAGGCTGGTAGGGAGGAGGAAAGTAAGGGGGCTGGAAGTCTGAACTGGCCGAGTGTGAGAGGGAAGTAGACGGGCTGTAGAGGTGTTGACTGACCGCCGGCAGGTGAGGCAGCCGTGGGTTCCCATTGCTGTTACTATCGTGCCTTTCCTAAGGAATGGAGGAGACAAAGCGGCTGAGAAAGATGCCAACAACATGGCAGGTTGTCACCCAAGGAGATAAAATGTCAGATTATTCGCTGGCACGATGTCTACTGAAAAATGGGATTTAGACGGGATAAAACAATAACGGAGACCGTTAATTTGGAATTTTTCTTAGTACTTAGTGGCTATTGCAAGAATATGCAAATATTCTCAGCAGCAATCAGCGTCTCAGATTATTATTATTATCATTATTATCATATTTTATTTTGTATATAGAGTAACAATAATAAGAACACGACCCCACTTTAATTTTATAAGGAATCATAGCCGGCTTTAACTCTGACAACCACATCCTGTTTTCACTGTTTCGCCAAACTTTACTCCAACTTTTCTCCCTTGGTGCAGCACATCATGCTGCTTCTAATGAGTCACCTTCCGAAATTTTACCGTGATTATTTCAACCCAAAGGATTAAAAGTCAGCACCCACTTCTTGCCGTTAAATTCGGTGCCACTGATCTCACTTAGTGGAGGCCATCTCTTACGAAACTCACCTCACAGTCATCCTCGTATTTTACGTTGTCGGCTAATTTCCACAACATTTTGGCTGAGGAAAAAGTCTCTTTCTTGCAAATTAAAAAAAAAAAAAAAGTGTAAAAGAAAAAAAATGGGGGAGGGGGGAAAGAAGCCCGCGAGTTAATCCAGGTATGAAGAAATTAACAGCTTCCTGGTGATCATGAACCCGCTTATTCTTCAGCTGCAGCAGGAGGCAAAGTTGTAGGCGAAGGCTGAAGGGCGAACTGACCTACCGACTGAGTATCCAACTACAGATATGAGTTTCCACAGCCACTATGAGAGAAAAATAATCGTTGTCAGGCAATATTCCCCCCCTTTCCTGCCAAGGCGCTCAGTACTTCTGTTGTGAAAGTGGGCGAAACCGGTTCATAAGAAACTTGACTCCCTCTTATGGACAAAACAGTGCTGTTCAGTGCAAACATGAGCATTTCACTATATCTGCACAGCCACTTACAGTGGGCGTCACCCTGTCCGATGATGTCAGTGAATTGGAAAAAAAAATAATAAAAATAAAAAATCCTGATTGGCGGGGTGATTGTCCAATCAAAATTCGGTCCGTCTGTAGCGCGTCTTTGCACGGCGTCAAACATTAAAAGGATTAAACATCCCCAGTGTAGTCTATATTCATTTTCCTCTCTCTTTTTTTTTTTTTACCTATTCCTCGTGTCTTGCAGCAAATGCTGCTTCTCATTAACATTTTTACTTCTTTTATCTCCTCGGGCCCATGGGTAGTTGAACCTTTAATTTTACAGGGCACTGTGTTCTGTTTAATGATTATATTCTTGGGCTTTAAAGCGATTCATTGGGTAGAGCTCTGTTAGCCAGTCATCAAAGAAATGATTTCTTGAGTTTTATATATTTACAAAATTGCACTTTACTGAACTGCAGGGCAATGTGCTCATGTAAAATATTATGACTACGAGACAGAACCTGTGAAAACGTTGCAGTTACTGCTGTACGTTAATGAGAGCTTCTTGACGAGACCTTGTAATGTAGTATACGCAGGCTTTACACAGTGTATTGCCTCTAGAGACCAATCACTTTGCTCGGTTTGAGCTGCTAATTTTAATAGCCTTCAGGAGAACGTCTTAATTTGAGGTAAAAACAAAAAAACCCAAAAAGTTAACATTCGTGTTCTTAAAACCACCACCACTAAAAGTAAAACATTATTATTAGTAGTAGTAGTAGTAGTAGTATTAGTAGTAGTAGTAGTAGTAGTAGTAGTAGTATTAGTAGTAGTAGTAGTAGTAGTAGTGTCAATTATTATTGGCCTGCATACGCATAAATGCAGTGATAGGAAACTGAGCCAAGCTACTGTGTGTTTCCCTTTTATTCCTAAAACCTTGTGGTTATGCTTTGACCGACTGGATAATTTTATAATCTTAAAGATCACCTTTTTCCCACGACAAGGCGTACTTACAGTTTGTATGCTTAATTCAGTAACAGGTATTCCAACAGGCCCGTGACATTTTGATGTTTCATATCAGTGGTACGTTTCAAACCGCAATAAGCCCGAGGGCTTAACCGCATTATTCTCTCAAAAAGCTCCAAAGCTCAAAGGATTTCAGCAAGCAGCCCTTTCTTAACTTCATTTAAATTTTTGTTGAGCTTTATAGTATCTCGGAAGGAGGGCTCTTTGAACTCTGGTTTTAATCAAAAGACAAGTAGGACAGACTTTGAGGGGGGAAATACATGATATAAAAATAACACCTGTTATCAGTTCTTCAAATCGTATTATGCCACCCCGAGGCTGCTCTAGTATTTTATCACTTTGTTTTGCATTATCAATTGATACGTAAACCAGTACGTGTCAGATTTTAATTTGTGAATTTAACGTGCGGAAATCCCGTGGCTTCTCTCCACCCAGCTGTGATAGTCCGCCCCTTTTTGTCCTCTTTGCCTTGTTGTCATGCCAAGCACAATTTATTTATTTATTTATTTTAAATGCCCTATTTAAAATGTTGTTCTGTGTTGAAACAGGCACAGGACGGACCTAAGAAAGTTAGTCACGCTTGGCCGACCGGTAAGGTTTTGAAAAATCCTGATGCTCAGCCTGTCATTTTAATGACAGCCGACTCAGCTGATGTCAGGTGTGAAGACAAAATGGATCCGTGCCCGGACACATTCAAAGTGTCACAGAAGCCAATGACTCAGCTCTGCCTAGTGATCTGCCTGTTTGCTTTGATCCCAGACTTAAGAAATATAGTTCAAAGCTGGTTTATGAACTGATTTTAACACCCAAAATTTGCATTGTATTGATAGGGCTACTAACTAAGTGAGTAAACAACTAAGCGAACAACCCTAATGGAGATCACAGTAATATTGAAGTTGCTCCAATATGTGTTCATAACTGAAGAAAAAAAAAGAAAGAAATATATATAAACTTTACTGGGCGGAAAATCTACTCGTGTAATCCCCCCCCAAAAAAATTCAATTTAAAATTTATAACTTAAACTGTTTGCAGAAACTATTGAAGAGGTGGAAAAAGTACCCTATCAGCAATTTTACTGAAAAATCATTTCATCCTTTATTTCAGTTTTAACCATCAGCAGCTCCACTGGTTTGTAATCCAGTAGCCTCAAGCGAAAATACTCAAAGTTTCTGATGAGTTAAACCTTGTTATTATTGGCATTAATCACAGGTTATTCAAAAAGCGCATATAGCGCCGTGCGACTTTAAGCTGGGGATAAAAACGAATTTGTAACTGCCCTTTTCCGCAGCAACCATTTTGACGTGAAGCAGTGTACAGCCACAGCCGCTACTAATGACATTAATGAAGATTTTGTAATTAGTAACACCTGTAGTTACTTACCATGTCGTGTCCAAATGGCTGCTGTAAAGGTTTAGGCTATATAAGGAGGGACTCAGTCTTAAGGTTAACGAGAGCGCACGTTTGCACAATGCAAACGTATTAAATTAGACAATAAATATATTTATGAGTAAATCTATGATTGCTATAATTTGACTTAATATAGCCTAAACTAGGGTTACGTTTTTATTCTACTCTGAACAAGACTGTTTTTAAAGTGATCAGTGTAAGAAAGACCCTCCGTAAGTTTACTTGTTAGTCTTCCACTGATGTAGATATTAAACGAATAAGTTTAGTCTTTTTAATAAGTGCATTAGAATTATAAGTTTACATTTTACATTAGCCTTTTCATATGCTTGGATATTACTGATGCCGTAGTTCACTCAAACATGGTGCAATTTAAATTCCTTCTATATTCAGGTTATTTGAACTGGAAGCTACTAGTTAAATCAGCGAAGGTTAAAAGATAATCCACAGGCCTCCGTCCTGTTCAAGCAGGATGTCAACCAATTTGCATTCGTTTTTCACCCTTATTTCTCACTCCGTGGCCTCTCGCACGCAACAATCTCCCAATGCCTGCGCCTTCTGACAGGGACCTGATCTTCAAGGTGGTTTTTGACAAAACAGGGAGCTGATCTGCAAGGTGACTTTTACGGGAAACCCTGTGAAGCTTGTGATATTTGAAAGTTGCCATTTTATACCCTACAGCTGTAATTAGTCAGGCTTGTTAAATTTAATGACGGAGGTGGAAGTGCATGAATTCATTGTTCAGATTTTTAAGAGTGTGGCTGTAAAAACGGACTCTAAGCTAACCTATATTAAGATGAAGTGAGGCTGATCGTCTACCGAGCTCTGTGAGGAGTGTGTCGGGCCCGAACAGTGTTGAAACAGGCCCGAACAGCACCAGCCCAATTTAACTCCTTGTTATGGTGGGAAGTAATAAAACAAAAGCGATAAACACGATACAGGCTTGGTCAAATTAGATCATCTGTAAGAGGAAAATACAGGAGGCAGCCAACTCACCCTCCAGTCTATCCTCTCCAGTACAGACATCTGCAAGGCTCCAGTCGCAGTAATCCCGCTGAGCTGCAGCGAATGAGTGATACCATGAGTTTTACATTGCCGACTTCACCTGACTGCAACGCAGGACGCATGCGCACTCTAATGAACTGCACCTGAGTGGACAAATCAAAATTTATTGCCAAACAGTTTATGGAAATTTGCATATACGGTTTGTGTAAAACAACGTGTACATTAATTTATTAATATGAGGAAAGCTGGTACGAAAGACTAAAAAAAAAAAAAAAACACTGAGGAAAACAAACATGATGCACAGAATTAGACTTATAACCGAGACAGTACTACAGTTGAACTTATCATTGTATTCTAGTTTTGAGTGTAAAAAAATAAATAAAAATAAAGTTACGGAGGATAAAATTAATGAATACGTGGAAAAAAAGAAGTATGGAAAATTCAAGATAAGGCAATTCCAGCCCAGCCCTAAAGCCACAGCGCCTCGGGGTGACCACAAGAATCTGCTTTCAAAGGCCACTGAAGCTTTTTAAGGTGTATAGTCCCTGTTATCTGATCTCCAGAAGATTTCAGCTTAAACTATTGAACAGATCAAAGTGTCTTTGCTGTATGGTTAAGAATGCAGCTGATATATCTTGATCTGGGGGGGGGAAGACGTCTACCTGTGGTCTGACATCTGTTTAATCGATTTTTAAAAAAATGGTGGAATGACACATTTCCCCCCAGATTCATTTAATTCCAACAATAAGACCTTAATTTAAAATCGTGTGCTACTGTTAAAAAATAAAGATCTTCTAATATATAAATTTTGTTGTTACGTTCTTGAGTAAAACAAAAATTAAGGGTGGAGGGGGAAAAAATCTACAATTTAGCAAATTTGACGTTATGTGTTGGTGAAATAATTCAAACCAATATAAGCAAACAATAAATTGTTCCGTGTAGTTGGTATTTATTATATCTTTCCAAAAAACCACAACAAAACACCAATTTTTTTTATTATAGTCCCCCATGACCACTAAAGAGGCCTAAATAATAAATATAAATATTTTTTTTCATTCGCAAGTCTTTATTATAACTATCAACTAAATTAAAATGCTTGTTTCCTAATCAGTGTTGAATGCTTTGTTTGATAAAATGCCGCACTAAGTGATCCAAACGTGAAAGAAAGAAAACAGCAGACTACCAGGAAAATCTCTGGATGGAAACAGTTCTGTTATTCTAAAGTTTTAGCCACCATAATTTGATCATTTGTGGTGTAACGAGAAGCAGGCTTTGTACACACTTTGTATGCTGTTTTCTTTACGCCGAGTATAAAATCTCAGCGCGGTACTTGCGCCTGTGCTGTCACCTAGGGGCCGCATCTTTTCATTACCACAGGACTGCAGTAGTAGCCTGTTTTGTAGTGGCTGTGGAGTCAGTAGCTACTCTGGGTGGACCTATTCAGAGATCAGCTCAACATATTACATCTACGGTACTTAATTTTCAGTTATTTAAGTTATTTAGGTATTTACATTACATGCCATGATTACTTCAGCAGTGAGAAAAATAGCTCAGAGAGAGTGCGCATGCGCCAACCAGCGTGCAGCCTGTTACAGTCGCTCCTGCTTTTCTCTTAGTTTAGCTCTTTTTTCTTAAGTATTCTTTTTTTTTTTTCTGACTTGTATTCTATGAGTCTGTTGTGGCCAGTGCGATCCTCTATGCTGTTGCATGCTGGGGGAGCAGGCTGA